GTGTCATGGCCGTGTTCGTGCCGTGAACTTGTCACAGTCATACGAAAACTGCACTACTTTGTACATCGTTAATCATTACTCATCATTTTCTTTGCAGTCATCAAGGATTGTTCCACAAATCCGTGTCTGCATGGAGGCACATGTTGTGATCGTACGAAGGGATTCATCTGTAAATGCCGAGAAGGTTTTCTTGGAAGGCGGTGCGAAAAGAGTGAGTTCACTTAACTTTATTTCCCTTGAGAGATGAGGCTGTAAACCGTGTGGGATGGGCTCGGAAATCGTATGAGAACATGCGTAATAGGTTTTATTTCTCTTGGGTGGGTTTTAAGTTTAATGGCAAACGTTTTTTTATGTTATTTTCATGAGCATGGTAAATTGCGTTATAATCTGATTATTTAGCATGATATATTGCATTTAAAGCATGGTATATTGCATTGAATTAGAGTATATTATGTTATTGCATTTAAAACAGCAGGGTATATTGCCTTCAGGCATGGTATATTGCATTTAAAGCATTATATTTTTCATTTAAAGTTGGAAATATTGCATTTAGAAAATGGGATTTGTAGTTAAAAAGGGTATATATTGTATTTAAAGCATGGCACATCGTATTCACTGCACTTAAAATATGGTATAATGCATTTAAAGCATGGTTTATTGTAGTTAAAGTATATTATATAACTGCATCATGGTATATTGCATTAATCTTACCTCTAAGCATGGTATCTTGCATTTAAAGCATGGCTTATTGTACTTAAAGAATATTATATAATTGCATCATGGTATATTGCATAAATCTTACCTCTAGGCATGGTATTTTGCATTTAAAGCATGGCTTATTGTACTTAAAGCATGGTATATAGCATCATACAATTATGAGCTATTCGTGCTGCGCAAAATAAACTAAACTCAAATCTAGACTCCACGGTGTTCGACTTATCTATATAGAAAAAATATCGCTCTGGGATCCTCACGAGTACCCTACATTTCATATTCTGGCTGCGCTACCAGCGTGGTTGGTCCTCGTAGTGTAGTGGTTAACACATCGGACTAGAATACCGAAGACGTGGGTTCGATTCCCGCCACACACACCGAACGCATAATTTAGGCCCCGTCCACACGTATCCGGAAATTTTTGTATCCGCAAATAATTTTTTGCGGATACGAAAATGTTTGCGTCCACACGCAGCGTATTCGAATCGTTTTCACCGTCCACACGTGTCCGTTTTCGTAAAATTTGCGGATACGGATACAAACATTTGCGGACACGTGTGGACGCAACCAGTATCCGCAAAAAAAAAAAAAAAAAAAGAAAAATTGCGGATACAAAAATTCCGGATACGTGTGGACGGGGCCTTATTACTATTAAACTATATTCGTTCAGAGGATCTTGACCTCTACGTGCCTGAAGGCCAAGGTCAACTCACATTCCAGGAAGACGGTAGCGATGACCCAAAGAGCGCGAAGTTCAGCCGAAGGTGTCGTTATGGCGGTAAAAAGGGTATTATAGTTGGGCGCGGATACGAGCTTGGAGGACGTACTAGGAAGCAAGTATTCAGAGATCTGAGACGGGCTAGATTTCCAAGACGTTATGCCATGATTATTTCAAGAGCTGCTGGTTTGAAGGGAAAAAAGGCTATTGCCTGTTTTAAGGTATGGATAAATATTACCCGTCATCTGCTCTCCTTTAGAGGATATTCAATTGCTTGGCATCAAACAGGTGAATGAATCTCATGAATCTTATCACCAGCCTACAATGACAGGCAAACCCTGCCCGTCATGTGCTATCAACCAGAGAGTATTCTATTGCTTAGTATCAATCAGCTGAATGAATCTCATTACCAGTCTACAATGACAAACATCTTTGATTTCTTTCAGAAATACCGGTTGGGCAAGTTCAGAATAACCAAGCAACAACAGAAAAGGCTGTTCAAAATATATTACGCCGAGAAAGTGAAAAAAGGCAAGAAATATCTGTCGACTTACTGCAAGCTTAAGCTTGACAAAATGAGCCAGTTCCAGAAAGATCTTATCATGGATCTCTACATTGATGGCGCCCTTTCATATGCCAGTCCACAGAAACGAAAGAATTCCGAATACATCAAGAAGGTTCTCGATTCTAACAACCTGAAGAGTATAAAAGCCTTGCTGAACAACAAAAATTTCTGGGTTAGCAAGATGAAAACCTCTGCGCGGAGGTTCGAAAGTCGTAAAAAGTTTTGCCAAAAAGAATGCAAGAAAACTCGCAGATGTTAACTTGGAAAGTCTAAAAGATTATAAATAAGATTACATGTAAGCTAAGATAAAACTATACTAAAGCCAGAGCAAGTATTTCTCAAAGGCTAAATATCTCATGATCAAAGTGCATTTTGATTTCATTTTGGGTGGTCAAATTTGTGCAGGTGTTTAGCTTAACAAGGGTAGAACTTGATGAGTCGAGAGTGAGTCCGGCATAATATGGTTTCAACCGCAGCCATTTTTTATCGAACCCTTAAACAACTTTTAAATTAGCTAATTTACTGAGTTGCGTATCGTTTATCGGAGGAGAACCAGGAAAAACCCTTCGAATAAGTAATTTTATTTATTTATTTCAGCCAATATTTAGACCAAAGACCAGACAAACTCTACTCAAATGTGTTGCGAGACCACGAATCAAATCCAAGACATTACCGAGTTGAAAGACGTCATTAAATTCGATTTTTGGCCATAAAACTTGGCAGCTTTGCTTTGCAATGTATTCTGTTAGACATATACGGCTTAAAACAGATTATATGAATTCAAATCAATATGTTAATCTCACAAAAGTAGTGCAGATTCTTAATCTTTTTTTTTTTTTTTTGTTGAAAATCAAAGCGATCCAAAATGAAGACAATTGCTTCCCACTTGTTTGGTTTGATCTTTACAAATGTGGCCACTCGAAATGAAGTTCTGCTAAAATAGCGTAAGATTTAAAAGCATGTATGTTTGGGTGTATAAGATTTAATAAAATGAAAGCTCTTGTGGGAAATTTCGTCATTTGTTGTTTGTTTGTTTTGTTGTTTGTCTTTCTTGTTTTGAGAAAGTCCGTGCACAGAGAGTGCTAATAGACCTCTTCAGCTCTGTTTTCCCATTTCAGACCACATGTCATTCCCTAGAGTATCATTTCTTTGTTTAAGGTTTGTTCTCGGTAGCACATGAGAAGACACATGAATATGAATACAGCTCAAACAAAGAATCTCATTCTTAAGACAATGACACGTGGTCTGAAATGGGAAAACATTACGCCAAGCCGACGAGGTCTATTCTTTCATAAGTTCGTTGTTAGATTTTCAGTGTCCTCACACACTTGCTTAAGGAGCAAGTGTGGCTTGGTTGGTTAGTGTTCTGCCTGCTAAGCAAGAGGTCCATAGTTTGATCCTCAGTGACCTCACACACTTGTTTTAAGGAGAAAGTGTGGCTTGGTTGATTAGTGTGCTGCTTGCTAAGCAAGAGGTTCATAGTTTGATCCTCGGTGACCTCACACACTTGTTTTAAGGAGCAAGTG